GGGGGGGGGGGGGGGGGGTTCTGCCCCCGCGCGCGCCGGGAAGGGTGGACATGAACTGCAAAGTTCCGGCGAGAAAGAAAACAAGATGTGAGCCAAAACTCACATTGGCCAGGGCCATCCGGGCCATGCCCCGTCGGGTTTGTCGAGCTTTTCGCAATGCACCTTAGGAGGGGGCGCGTTGGTGCGGCTCGAGGCTGGAGGCTCGGCGTCTATTGGAGCTCCAGAGCTCCGGACAAAAGGCTGAAGAGTCTTATTGTCAAGACTATGAGATTCCAAGAGTGGTTTTCATCGCCTCCAGCAATTCCTTCTACACCATGTGCAGGAGACTCCTTCTTGCGACCTGAACTGCAGGCGGAGGAGCGTGTCACCCGTCTGGCCGGCCTCAGTAAGCCAGGAGGCCGATACGGTGGGCTAGAGGCCGCCAGTCCGCTGAATAGACACCAACTCTAGCCGCTCTAGCCCTTTTGCCAAGCAGCTTGGCAGACCGCCTGAGATGGAGGCAGGGCCAGGGGAAAACTCGCATGCATTCCGAATGCGCCGCAATGTTTCGCAGGGGCTATGCTCTGGGATCCGGGCCGCGGCAGCCCCACTTGCCGGCACCACGGGCGCCAAGAGCGGGGGTAGGGGGCCTGCCACAGCCTCGACAGCGTGGGATGCTGTGGGCCCTCAAGCCCCTTTTTGGTATGACAGAAATTGAGAGAAAAACAAATATAACTCGACCAATACTAGGATGGTAGCCGAATATGAAGTTGCATATGCTACCAATCCTTCGGTTCGAAGCTCATGGGCCGCCTCAGCAGGTGCGAAAGATGCGTCGGCAGCACGCACGGGCACTCCACCGAAGAAGAGCCGACCTCGACAACTGTCGAACAGTCTGGGCTCCACTGTCAAAGGCTTCTTTCGAGACAGAGCGGCATTGAATCGAAGGCGTTGTGGTGCTCGTGGAGGAGCTGGAGGTGGAGGTCAAAGAAGTGCGAGTCCTGAGGGACTGTTCTTTGCTTGCAGCTTCTCCACAGCCTTTCCAGCGTGCCTTGCAGGGATGGTTGGGGCGTTTATGTTTCAACAACAGGCAAGCGTCTGCATCAACAGACATGCGAATGCGTTACCTGAAGATACATGATGACGTCTCTGCAACCTCCGTTGCCCCCAACACCACACCTATAGGACCTATACAGAGTTTGTCACTCTCACGTGCTCTTCGCCCTCAGTCGAAAGTCCTCGTCTTGGTCGTCGTTGTGGAGGACATGCTTGTCGTCGAAGTCCTCGCGACAAACGGAAGAAGCACCAGCAGCTGCGTGCTTTGCCGAACATGTGCCCGCGAGAGCGACCTTGCAGATACTCCTGACTCCTTCCGGTATGATACTCGGGCTTCTCTCTCCTGCTTGCGTCTACCTGTCCTGGTTGTGCTGGTAGTGGATGATGTCGAAGTGGAAGTGGTTGACATGGAGGTGGTCGTCATCGAAGTGCTTTTTGTACCTGTGATGCTGGTTGTAGTGCCGCTCGCAGTTCTGCTCGTGCTTGTGGCCGAAGATGTGCTCGTGCGGGAGCTACTGGTTCTTGAGCTGCTAGTGGTCGTGGCGCTCGTGCTGCTTGAGCCGGTTGTGCTCGTCGTTGCACTGGTTGTGCTGCTGCTGGTTACAGTGGAGCTTACCGTTGTTGTGCTGGACGTGCTAGTGCTGGTTGTGCTCGAACTGGATGTGCTGGTGCTGGACGTTCTTGAGCTGGACGTGCTGGTGCTGGTCGTGCTTGAGCTGGATATGCTGGTGCTGCTTGTGCTGGAACTTGTCGTGCTCGAGCTGGATGTGCTGGTGCTGCTTGCGCTCGAACTTGTTGTGCTCGAGCTGGATGTGCGGGTGCTGCTTGTGCTCGAGTGTGTTGTGCTTGAGCTGGATGTGCTGGAGCTGCTGATGCTTGAGCTGGTGCTGCTTGTGCTTGTGCTTGTTGTGCTGGAGCTGCTTGTGCTCGAGCTGGTTTTGGTTGTGCTAGTCGTGCTAGAAGCGGTTTTGGTTGTACTGGTTGTACTCGAGCTGGTTTTGGTTGAACTTGTCGTAGTCGAGCTTGTCGTGCTCGTGCTTGTCGTGCTCGTGCTTGTCGTGCTCGTGCTTGTTGTGCTCGAGCTGGTGGAGCTTGAGCTCGTGGAGCTCGAGCTCGTCGTGCTTGTGCTAGTTGTGCTCGAGCTGGTGGAGCTTGAGCTCGTTGTGCTGGAGCTTGTTGTGCTCGAACTGCTTGTGCTTGTTGTGCTGGAGCTGCTAGTGCTCGTGTTGGATGTGGTGGAGCTTGTTGTGGTTGTGCTGGTAGTGCGCGAGCTGGTGGTGCTCGAGCTTGTTTTGCTAGAACTCGATGTTGTACTTGTGCTTGAGCTTGTTGTGCTCGTGATGCTGGTGCTCGAGCTGATGGTACTTGTGACTGTTGTTGTTGTGAACTCACTGCTGCTTGTTGTGCTTTTTGTAGCTGTGCTTGAGCTGGTTGTGCTCGAGCCGGTCGTGCTGGTGCTGATTGTGCTCGAGCTGGATGTGCTGGTGCTGGTCGTGCTTGAGCTGGATATGCTGGTGCTGCTTGTGCTGGAACTTGTCGTGCTCGAGCTGGATGTGCTGGTGCTGCTTGTGCTCCAACTTGTTGTGCTCGAGCTGGATGTGCGGGTGCTGCTTGTGCTCGAGCTTGTTGCGCTTGAGCTTGTTGTGCTCGTGCTGCTTGTGCTGGTGCTTGTTTCACTCGAGCTTGTTGTGCTCGAGCTGCTTGTTGCCGTGCTGGTTGTGCTCGAGCTGGTTTTGGTTGAGCTTGTCGTGCTCGAGCTTGTCACGCTCGAGCTTGTTGTGGTCGAGCTAGTTGTGCCGGAGCTGGTGGAGCTTGAACTCGTAGTGCTCGAGCTGGTGATGCTCGAGCTGGTGGTGCTCGAGCTGCTCGTGCTAGAACTCGTTGTGCTTGAGCTGCTTGTGCTCGAGCTTGTCGTGCTTGAGCTGCTCGTGCTCGAACTGCTTGTGCTCGAGCTCGTGGTGCTCGAGCTCGTAGTGCTGAAGCTAGTCGTGCTCGTGCTGCTTGTGCTCGTGCTTGTCGTGCTCGAGCTAGTTGTGCTAGAGCTGCTGGAACTTGAGCTCGTGGTGCTTGAGCTGGTGCTGCTCGAGCTGCTAGTGCTAGAACTCGTTGTGCTTGAGCTGCTTGTGCTCGAGCTTGTCGTGCTTGAGCTGCTGGTGCTCGAACTGCTTGTGCTCGAGCTCGTGGTTATGGTGGTTGTTGTACTTGTGCTGGACGTGCTGCTGCTTGTTGTTTGGCTGGTTGTGGTCTGGGTGGTGCTGCTGGTAGTTCGGCTTGTGCTTGTGCTAGATGTCGTGCTGCTTGTGCTGCTCGTCGAGCTACTTGAAGAAGTAGTGGTGCTGGTCTGACTTGTGCTGGTGGTACTCGAAGTCGTTCTTGTCGTACTCGTGCTGGTCGAAGTCGATGATGTAGTGCTTGATGTAGTCGAGCTTGTTGTTATGGTCACGGTGGTAGCAGTGCTTGTCGTGCGTGTACTGGTGGTTCTTGTGCTGGTGGTCCACGTAATGCTGGTCCACGTAACGCTGGTGTAGGTTGTGTCTGTGCTGCTGGTCCAGGTGATCGTTGTCCGTGTTGTTGTTGTTATTGTTGTAGTTGTGATGGTGGTGGTGGTGGTTGTGATGGTGGTGGTACTTGTCGCTGTGGATGTGGTTGATGACGAAGAGGTTGCCGTCGTGGACGTTGATGTACTGCACGGACTACGTCTTACCGCACATGCTCAGGACCTATCCTTGAAGTCAGAAAGAGCGCGCTACCATGGACCGTGCGGTCACACCTCGATGATCCCGGCACCTGAACATGCCTGTGACTACATGTGTGCTGGCCTTGATGTTGATGTCGATGAGCTCGATGTCGTGGAGCTGGTGCTGGTGCTGGTGCTCGTGGAAGAAGTTGTGCTGGTTGATGTGCTTGTGGTGGTCGTCGAGCTCGTTGATGTGCTTGTTGTGCTCGTGGAAGTGGAAGTAGTTGTGCTAGAAGTGACAGATGTTGAGCTTGTAGTGGAAGAAGTCGCAGTAGTTGTGCTTGTTGTAGTGGTGGTCGTAGACGTGCTCGTGGTGGAGGTGCTTGTCGTGGAGGTGGAGCTTGTGGTCACGCTGGTACTGCTAGTGCTTGTTGTGGTGCTGGAGGAGCTGGTTGTTGTGCTGCTCGTGCTGGTCGATGTCGTGGAGCTGGATGCGGTTGAGGTGGTGCTCGATGTGGTCGCACTTGTGGTACTTGTCGAGGACGAGCTGCTTGTCGTCGTCGTTGAGCTTGTGGAGGTTGAGGTGCTGCAAAGGAATACATGTTACTGCGGCACTCTACACATGCACAGGACCTACTCTTGAACTCAGCAGGTGCCGTACTACAGACCGTGTGGGGCACCATTCGGTGCTCCAGGGGCGTACCTAAACATGCATCTTTTGCTTGCCTTGATGTTGATGTCGAGGAGCTCGATGTCGTGGAGCTGGTGATGGTGCTGGTGCTCGTGGAAGAAGTTGTGCTGGTTGATGTGCTTGTGGTGATCGTCATGCTCGTTGACGTGCTTGTTATGCTCGTGGAAGTGGAAGTAGTTGTGCTAGAAGTGACAGATGTTGAGCTTGTAGTGGAAGAGGCTGTTGTGCTGGTGGTCGCAGACGTGCTCCTCGTGGAGGAACTGGTGCCGCTGGTGGTCGTTGTGGTGCTGGAGGATCCGGTTGTGGTGGAAGTTGAGCTCCTGACATCACAGCGGTGCGCGGTTTGTAGGGTTCGCCTAGCAGCAACCTAGCCTACGACCCTGTTCCTGGAGATACTGCTAGTGGCGGTAGCTGAGCGTGATGTGGATGTGGAGGAAGCACTTGAGGTGAACGACCTTCGTGGCTTCGCATGGTTTCTGGCTTGTTTCGACAGCCTCAAAATAAGCCTCAACAAATTAGAAACTGCGCTTAGACGTGCTTCAACCCTGAACGGTGTCGAAGTGACGTGGTGCTTGAGATAGTGATACTCGACACAGTAGCACTCGCAGTCGCGCTGCTCGTCGTCCCGCTACTAGAAGACATAGTTACCGTCGTTGTCGTGCGCGTAGAAGTTGCCGTCGCCGTCCTTGTTGAGGTGCTTGAAGATGTACTACGAGTCGTCGTTGACGATGTGGCGCTTGATGTTGCAGTGGAGGTCTGTGTTGTGGTTGTTGTCTCGCTGGTGGTGATGCTCGTGCGTGTTGATGTGCTGGTGAGCGTTGTGACGGAGCTTGTGTAGGTCGAGCTGGTGGTGCTGTGAGTATGCGTAGTGCTTGTTGAAGTACCTGTCACGGTATTGAGTGTGCTGGTTTGGCTGCTGGTCGAAGTTTGCGTTGATGTTGTGGATCGGCTGGTAGTAGCGGTAGTACTTGTTGAAATGCTTGTCGATGTTGTCACGGTACTGGTAAAGCTGGTGGTGCTAGTTCGGGTCGAAGATTTGCTGCTGCTCGTAGTCGTGCTGATGCTTGTGACTGTTCTTGTCAGGGTCGTGGATGTGCTGGTTTGGCTTGCGGTCGTGGTGGTCGTGCCTGTGGTCGCGGTGGCGCTGACAGAAGTCGAACTTGTGGTGGTGCTGTGGCTTCTTGTGGTGCTGGTGCTTGTCACAGTGCTCGATGTGGTGCTGCTTGTGAGTGATGAGCTGGTGGTGCTGGTCTGGGTGCTTGATATCGTTGAGCTGGTGGTACTTGTCACCGTGGTGGCGGTGCTGGTCTGGCTGGTGGTCGAGGTTTTCGTCGAGGATGTGCTGCTTGTGGTCGTGCTTGTCGGAGTCGTGGTACTTGTCACTGTCGCTGACAGCGTCGTGGATGTGCTGGTCTGGCTTGTGGTCGTGGCGGTTTTGCTGGTGCTCACGGTCGCAGTTGTCGTGTGGCTTGTGGTGATTGTAGAAGTTGAAGTGTGGCTGCGACTTGTGGTGGTGCTGGTGCTGGCCGTTGTGCTACTTGTGCCTGTGCCCGAGGTGGTACTACTTCTGCTGGTGGAGCTGCTTGAACTCGTGCCGCTGCTGCTAGTCGTCGTGCTGACGCTACTGGTTTGGGTGCTCGTCGTGCTCGTGGAAACCGTGGAGGCCGTGGACGTCAAGGACGTTCCCGTCTTCGTCGAACTCGACGTGGAGGAAGTGGTCGTCAGGGACACCGTCACCTCGCCGGCCCGGCGCCCCGCGGTTCGTGCCCGGCGGGTGTCCCCCTTTTTTCTTTTCTCTCAGTCTCTGTCTTCGTCTCTCTTTTTGAATAAAAGGACAGGGAGCGGTGGCAGTGGTCGAGGACGTTGCGGAGGAGCTTGTGCTTGTGGAGGTCTGGGTGCTGGTCCTCTTGTGCAACCACAAAATGATGAGAGGTCTCGGGGTTACTGGCTAGGTGTGTGCTGACAGCCTTGCAACCGCCTCCACTTCTCCTTGTGCTGGTCGATGTCTGGGAAGTGGATGTGGCTGTGGAACTCGTGCTCGTCAAGGACGAAGCCGTACCTTTTTCCACGAGATCCCCGCAACTCGCTACATATCACACAAGGGTCGTCCTTCCTCCATCGCTCAGCATGCGTTGGCAGGGCATCCGGGCATGCGTCACAGCAAACGTATCGGCTCCAGGTCACTCGACGTCGAAGTCGTGCTCGTTGTGGTCGAGCCTCGTCCCGCGGTTGCCACTTAAGCCCCTAAGCCTTTGCGGCAAGCCCCGGGAAACTTCCTCGTTCCGGAGTGACTGAAAACGTTCAGTCTCATCTTCTTATGACCACTGCAAGACACACCCGATTCAAGAAGTGGCCAGCGCTTGCGAGACACACTCGCTGAGTGGTACATCACGTACCAGCACACCGCCATCGAATAAGCAATCGCGGGATAAACTGACCTGCAGGACATTTGCGCTTCGTTTTGGCCCTAGGTCTGCGCACAGAACGACGGAAGCCGAGAGACGTAGGTGCAGTGGTCGTCGAAAGCAGTTACCAGGACAAACGCGAGCAAGATGAGCTTTCCTGGCGAGGCGCATGGCGAAAAAGCTTGAGGCTGTAGTGGAACAGGCTCACTGCCTTGGGATTCGTCAAACGCTGAATTTTGTGACTTTTGGTGTCACTGCCCTGTTACGTGGGGTCTGACCTCTGACCTTCTGCTTCGGCTTCAAGTCCTTTCCTGCTCTCCAGAACTCTTAAAACGTTTCGGCGAATATATCTGTGCGCTCTGCACGCTTGGGGCTCGGAGCTCGGGGCCAGGTGAGAGCCGTTGTGCGCCTTGGGAAGTCATCCTTCGCGCTCGCTGTGACGGCGTGGCGCCATCTTTGAGCTACGCTGCTTCGACCTACTTCGTGGATGGTGTCTGATCTGTGCGCATGGACGCATGGATGCTCTTCTCCTGGGCGATGGCCAGCTTTGGGCCCGGATTCCTCTTGGGCCTCCAGGAGAGCACATTTCTCTGAAAGGAAGGAGGCTCGTGCCTCCCATGCGGGGAAGCTCAGCACTTGAACTATCAGACAAATCCACCCAAACTGGTCGGCATTGCAATGCACAGAGGAGAGAGAGTCTTTGGCACTTTGGCGCCGCACCAGTACCCAACCCCCGTCGGGTACACGAAGCGGTTAGCAAAACGAACGGGGCCAGTCACACCGAACTTGCAAGAACAACACACCTAGAAGACCCGATGTAGGAAGAAGCCATAGCACCATCTATCAAGAGATTTCCGTGGAGAAATCGCGTCCATAGAGCTAACCTTCAGCATGCCGCAGACTAGAACCGCAAGAAACAGCCGCAATGGTATTACTTGTTAGTGAGTTTCAGCCAGGAGGAGGGGGGCGGGGGCTCTCACTGGGACGATTCGGCCTCGCACCAGGAGCTCACGACGACACAAATCCACAAGGGGCGCACTTAAGTCTTGGAGAGGGACACTCGGACGTATCTTAGTGGGCAACACTGACAGTCCTTGCAGTGTATTCTGCAGCCCTTTTGAAGCTGTTTTGGCGAGCAAACAATGGTCTTTGAGTTGCCTGGTCTGCAGCACACTTGTGTTGCCTGACAAAAATGAAACTGCCGCCATTTAGGGCGGGCCCGTTTCCGAGACAAGCTCGGAAAGGCCCACACATTGTCTGCCATGGCTGTGCAGGGGCCTGTGGCCTTGCAAGCCCTGCCGGAAGGGCATTCAAGATACGGCCTCTGACAGTCAACAAAGATGCAAGCGGCATTGCAAGCATCAGCACTGCTATCAACATGAAGACTTTTTGACATGTTTGGGCCCCTTCGCGCCTCCATAGACTGCAAACAATCGTGCTTCCCGTTGTAGTCTAGCAGGGCAGCCTGGCAGAAGCGAAGCGCGCTCTATTGCTCGCCAACCCTCTTACTCCACACAACATCTTTTCACTAGCGTGATCTGATCCGATTGCTTTCTCGGATCTTTTTTAAACGCGCCAGATGGGCAGGTGCCAAGAGTACGGTCCCCACTTCACAAGAAACCGGAACCCTGGGAACCCTCGGAAGCACACGATAAGGCGCCTCCTCAGCCCGTTTGCAGACCCACTGTCAACTGACCTTCCAAGCCACCTCCAAACCCACCTTCACGCTTCTGGCTTTCGGAAGTCTGGGAACCCACGCCGAGCAGCAGAATCCTGCAAGCAACGACCCGCAAGCAGTCTTGTAAACGCAAAAACAAAGCTTTACGCCAAGTGCGCCTGCAAAGACTCGTGTCTGCGGCTTTGCTACGACGACCCTAGTACTGGTGAAGGGAAGGGTGACGATGATGAACAAAAACTGTCTCTCTGAGGTGTCCGCCTGGAGCATGCCTTGAGTTGAGGCGTCCACTTTGGGCGCCTCGGCTTCGGACCATGGGACAGTGAAACTTGCCAACACCTATCGCCAGCACAACAGATCGAAAAAGCTAAGGTAGCAACCCCCTCCTCAACTTTCAGACGCCTTGATGCTCCTCCATCGGCTCCTGTGCGTCTGTCCAATGCGGTGCTTCCACGCCAGAGCTATGGTAGTTATGAGTTGTGAACTCAGTTGTCCATCTTTTTTGAGAAGGCCTGGGCCGGGCGGAACCAAAACTGAGCCCGGAAACAAAGCTGGTCTTGTGATTAGATTCAAGAAACATCGCTTGCTGTTTCCCCTACGACCCAACGATCGGGATGGGCCCAAGCACACTAACAGTGACCACAAACAGACGCACAAAAAGCAACACCATAAACATGTTGAAATAATGGACTTCTCATGATCATACTTACTTTTTGGAGAATATTGGTTCTTCCACTCTGCTGGCCATGTGCTTTTTGCAAGAAAGAAGCATAGCAATTGCAGATAGCTAATACCGGTAATGTCCGTAGTCC